CCCCAGCACAGGTCCACGAAGGTTTTGGTTATTCCAGTGCCGAGAGGATCCCGGGGCTAGAGGATCTTCTAGGGAGAGCCCCTCATCCCCCACTGCTCCCTAACCACCCCGTGCCCAGCCCCTGGTGGGAGCAGCTGGGAGCATGGGGGGGGGGTGGTCCTGAGGAGCAGCGGCTCAGCTGTCGCTCACCAAGCTCCCGCAGAGCAGGTGTGGAGGACCTACTCCACAGCCCCGCCAGGTAGCCTGTGCGATCTCCCTGGAACAGGTTGTGATCTGAACAGACGAAAACTCATTCTCTCCGCTTTCTTCTCCTACTTTGGTAGACAGAGCTCTGGGGGTAATTGCTGACATGTCCTCCAGAGGAACAAGAGACTGAGCAAGACCTGGGTGTGGGAGCGGGAATTTAGAAGCAGGAGGGGACTTCCTGGCTTGAGAGGCACTGTCCAGCAGCCCTGGTGCTGAATTTTGATAGGGCTAGTTATGTGAGGACCCAGCTGTTTCCTGGGGAGTGTGGGCATCCCGGAAAAGCACTGAATATATTTGCTGCCACCCTGAGCTCCAAAATGATTTATCTAACCCACCACCATGAGCACCTCATCGCTGGCCAACACAGAGATCCTGCTTTTGTTTTTCTGGGTCCCAGTCCACTACCTCAAGCACCTTGACAGTCACTAGCTCGGTGGAAGGACAAGTACCTGGACATCTGAGTGTCTGGACCAGCTCCCTCGCGTCCCAGTGAACTTGCTGATTCTGGACAGCATATCTGTGGGAGCTGTGCTAGCACGATGGGGAAACAGTAAGAAGCTTCCACCACCAGCCTGGGCACCAGCCTGGTCAATCTAGGAAATCTGCAGAGGTCCAGGGGTGGGGTGATATTTAAATAGAAAGTGGGTTTTGGTCCTGTTCCTTTGGCGACTTGTTAATTAAGGGTGTATTTCTAATCCTCCAATAATATTAGAAACGGCGCACGTTTTATATTTAGATAGGACATGTATTTCTTCCCCCAGCTTGTATCATTTGTCCCATTTTATTGAGAAATAATTTATGTCTATCACTATGGATAAGTGACAACCACAGCTGGTTCAGCTAACATCTGTCATCTCTTTTAGACACAATAAGAAGGGAAAAACCTCTCTCTGCGATGGGAAGCCTCCGAGCTTACTCTCTTAACTCCCCCACACCTCACCCAGCTGTGCTAGTGTGTCTTCATGCTGTACATCACACCCTCAGACCACCTGACAACCGGAAGTTGGAACCTTTTTTTAAAATTTAATATAATAATTTTGTGCCTTTTCCCACCTCAGTTGTCATCCCTGTGGGCTTCCCATCACCAGATCATCTGTGTGCCATCACCATAGTCCAATGCACTCCCCCCACCCCATTTTTTATGGGAGTTGGAACCTTTTGGCCACCTTCTTCCAGTTCCCCTTGAAAGCCAAAAATTCCAGATACTGAAAAATCCTGTTGGCCCAGAAAACATGTTTTAATGTACTAAATTCCTGGAGTGCATTTTGTATAGTGAGAGGCTGTGCTTCCTTCCCGACTCACTGTCTTTCCACTTCCAAATCTCCCAGGGATGTGTGTGGCAGGCGTTGCTTCTGTCCTCCCTGGCCTGGGCCCCAGGTAAACGATTCACAGAAGGCTGCTAGGCAGCTCCTCGTCCTTCAGTCTGTGCTCCATGCTCTCTTGCCAGAGGGCTGGCTCCCAGCAGCCAGCCGAGCGCCCCTGACTGTGGGGGCACTTGGGTGGACTGGTAGAGGCAGTGCTGTCCGGGTTCTTGAGGTTGATGGCTTCCTATTGTTTCATTACTAGGCTGGAGTCAAGTTCTGGATCGGACTGTCCTCTGCAGAATGGGGAGAGGGAACCTTGCAGGACAAAGACAAAGGTGAAATGGACAGATAGGGGAAGTGGAAGAAGCTGGTCAAAAGGTTCCAACTTCCAGTTGTCCGTTAGTATGAGGGATGTAATGTATCAGCAGCTTGGAAAATAGCCAGCTTGCGGTTGACCTTTGAGAAGTTTGTTGCTGTGGGGGAATGTTAGAGCTGGCTTTGTCTGCAAGGGCAGCACTGGCCAGCCCAGCTCCCAGAGGTGCTGGGACAGTGCCGTGGCAGCCGGGCGTGAGTCCTCTGAATCCCCTGGCCCTGCGGTGGGCCCCGGCCACCATGCTGAACCCCCTCGCCAGCTGCATCGTCCTTCTCTCCCGGGCTTCCGTTTGCAGATGGGGAAAAAACTTCCTCAGGGAGCAGAACCAGACGCAGACTCCTGAGTGGGGAGCTCGCACGCCCTCGTGCGCGCCTGCACCTCCCCCCGCTCCCTGACCTCTGTCCAGCCGCCCCGTCCGGGAGCACCTCCTCGCCGGTGCGACCAGCCTCCTCTTGTTTCATGGCTGGGGCTGCCTGGGGTGGGAGGGGGGCGTCGAAGGGGTCCATGGGGCTGGACCGTAAGAGGAAGGCGATCCCCCCTAAGGAGCTGGCGCCTAGACCAAGCCGACAGGTGTTGTTAGGGTGTACCGAGGGAGAGGGGTGTTAGGGTGTACCGAGGGAGAGGGGGGCAGGGGACTTGCCCGTGGGCCCCTGGCCGGTGCAGAGGGCCTTGTCTCCGCTTCCATGAAGCGTGGCTGCCTCAGAGGCTCAAAAGACTTCCTCAAGGAGCGGGACCAGACGGACTCCCTGGTCCTCCCCAGGGGTGGACGTTTCTGTGTAAAGAGACGGCGGGGTCCTCACCATACCCCGGTCACCGGGGCTGCTCCCTCCACGCTTGCACCCCGGGGTGTGACCTGCGGCCGCACCTCTCCTCCGCCCTTCCCCCTCTGCGGTTCTTCTCTCTCTGTGGGCCTTCAGTATGTGCCTCAGTTCTGTCCGCATACAGATTTCTTATTGCATCGGCTCTCTGGTACTAGCCGCCTTCAGACACCATCTCATTCGCTTCCCATCACCTCTGCTTTAAGTGGAGGGAACTGCCCCAGCGGCCTCCCTGGCAGAGTGTGCCTGGGGCAGCAGTCTGGTTCCCTCCCCGAGGGCCGCAGGACACCAGAGGGCCAGGAGCTGCTCCTCCCCAAGCCCTCCCATCACAGAACATTCCAGGTGCCGCCGAGGTGCGGGTGAGGCGGAGTAGGAAACGCTTGCTTTGCTCCAGACCTCTCGAGGTACAGATTAAGTGCCTGTCCTGGCAGTCCGGGTCAGCAAATTGGGCCAGTGTGGGTGGGGGCCGAATGGTTCTAGACCCAGCTCCGCCTCTCCAGCTGCTGCAACTTCGGGCCGGTCCTGCCTCTCCCATAAACTGTACGCCCCTCCGGGGCCCCCAGAGCCCTGGGCACGTTCTGGAAGTGCCTGTTACCAGAAGGGGCTAGTTTGCCAGTGGACACAGGACCCACTGCTCTGGGCTGCTCCGCCATCTACATTAAACCGACTCATTAGTGCAAGATCCTGTTGTTAATGGCTTAGAGAAGCAAATTCTTCCTGAGATGAGCTGGTGTCTGGCGCCAAGCTTCGACTCCTCTCCCCAGTGCACCGGGGTCCCTGCTGGAGGTCTTTGCCCCGGGGACCCCCGGCTACCCACGGGGTTTGTGGTCTTGATGTGGTTCCGTGGATGGGGTTCTTGGGTCCCTCGGAGAAAGGTTCCGGCAGTCCCCCCCCCCCGGGGGGGCACATGACCAGATTCCTGAGGAAAAAGATGTTTGCTAAGACACAAACAAGCAAAGGCTGCATTTTAAAGGTTTTTTTAGGGAAAAGCTACGCCTGTGTAGACACAGGTGAGCTGTCTTAAAGGACAGGCCTGGGTTTTACCAGGACGAGAGACGCCCTTACACCAGCACCGTAGCCTTGGGGGTCACACAGCTTGTCTCTGCGCCTCAGCACATGCCAGCCATAGACAGTTTGTGGGTAGATCTGCCTTGCAGGCACTCAGTTTTGAATTTCATCTGATTTTCGGGTGTCCTGAAATATTATTCTTTCTGTGCCTTTTTTCCAACTACTGAAAAATGTGAAAATCATTCTTAGCTTGCAGGCCATACAAACGAGGCAGGGGCCACATAAGCAGTCCCCCGGCTTACACTTTATTTATGCAAAAATAAATAAAATCTTTAAAAAATACAAATAAAAATGTAAGATTGCTCTTTGCACGCTCTCTTACAATCCCAGAGGGAAAGTTGTTCGAGGATCCTTGAGCCTTAGCAAGAGCTCATTTTAACCTGAATTGTACTGTGTCAAAATGCTATTGCTCTGCTTTTCTTTAAAGATTTATTTATTTGTGCATATAGAATTGGGGTACAGACCAGAGGTGCAGGGGCACTGAGAGGCTTCACCAGAGACAGAGTGGGGAGCAGAACAGGCCGACCGACGAAGTCCACTGCTGAGGGGAGCAGTGGGCAGGCAGGAGAGGTCTGCCGCGCCCTGTGGTCACCTCTGGGGGGGCGGATTGAACTCATGCTGAAGTGGCTTTAGCTTCGTGCTGCGCTTTAACCAGCTGTGCCACCTGCTTTGATTTTTTTTTTTTAATTATTCTCGTGAAGAATTGGGGTATAAGGCAGAGGTGCAAGGTGAGAGGAGTCACCAGAGACAGAGTGGGGAGCAGAACAGGCGGATCCACTGAAATCCACTGCTGAGGGGAGCAGCGGGAGACAGGAGGGGTCTGCTGTGACAGGTGGGTCACTCCCTGGCCGGGGATTGAACTCAGACCTTGGGATGGGAGCGCAGAGACTTACCCCCGAGGCTACCCTGCTCTGATTTCTTACGGAAGAAGTGAAGATACTGCCTGTTCTGAACAACTGAGTGATGAGTACAATCTCGTCACAGGATTACGTAACAGTAAAACTACGCAAAAACGACCCTGGAGTTCGCGAATTCGAGGGCGTATGTGGCACATTCTGGGTGCCCAGAGCACACCTGCCTGCACGCGGGACCACCGGCTCCCAGAGCGCAAGGGGCTGCGGGTTTCGGGGTGCGCTTCTGCGTGCGTGCTGACGCTAGAGCGGCTCCTCACCTGCACTTTCTGTGTTTCAGAGGGTCTTGCTGTCGGAGTTGGATTTGGGGCCGTGGAAAAGACGGTGTCTGCCACCTTCGAGAGCGCCAGGTAGGCTGACCCCTGTGCCCCCGAGCACAGCACCGCCCCAGCGGGCCACAAACGCTTGCCACCTGGGGGGCCTCTCCAGGCCACAGGCCAAGGCCGAGGCGGCCAGGTGACGCACACACCTGAGAGGGGTCTGTCGGAACGCAGGTGGGGCCAGCTTGTGGTGACCAACAGGTAGCCGTGGGTGTGCTCGCCGCCGACCTCCAAGCCCTTTCTGTGCAAAGGCCAACAAGCGTCACAGAGATGGTGTTGAGGCGGCTCGGTGCTCCCTCCTCCTTGGAGCCCTCCCCTTCTCTCTCGGTCCGGTGTCTTTGCGCTCCTTCCAGGCGCCGCAGCAGGGGGCCCTTCGCAAGTGTGCCCAGGCCAGGGCGGCCGTTTCTCTCCAGAGTGCACGGTCCTCAGGGCCTCGCCCCTCCCCCAGCCTCATCCCACCACTTGCCGTGATACTGAGTGGGCGCCAGCCAGCCTGCCCTCCTCCCTGTTTCTCTGTGGGCTGACAGAGGGTGGAGCCTCCTAGGCTTTGCTAAGGACACACCACTGCTGGAACCCGCTGGTGCCTGGGCGGGGCCTTCTGACTCAGGATTCCCCGGGTCTCAACCTCCTATTCCTAGCCGTGGTCAGGGGACTCAGGCGACAACGACAGGCGCCAGCGGGGTGGAGACAGCTGGGAACGGTGAGGTGAGGTGGGCTCCGAACGCCAGGCCCACCTGCACCTACAGCCGCATTTTCTTCAGGGGTAATTCAGGCCAAAGAGCCGGCCAGTTTCCCAGCCCTGCTCACAGCTCACCGCTCATCCTCCGCCTCCAGACAGGCCGGCCCCCCAGCAGACACCTGCCTCCCCCAGGAAGTGGCCTCGTCTCCTGCGGCTGGTGTGGCAGTGGGCTCATGCCCGGCCTGCGTAAGATCCAGCAATGGTGGCGTAGAGTTTTGAGGAATGAAAGCAGCTTTACTGCCAATCAGCTGGAAGGAGGCACAAGAGAGAACCTGCCCCCAGGTTAACAGGGGGTCAGGCAGGTGCAGGGGCAAGGGCTGAGAGTAAAGGGTTAAAGGGTTAGCTGGGGGTAAGGTGTGGGCGAAGGGCAAGGAACGTGGGCTTGGCTGAAGTTCGCTGGCAGTTACAGGGCAGAGCGTGCAGAAGGATGGCGTCCTGTGGCATTTTCAGATAACTGGAGCTGTGGATTTCTGTGGGGGGCCCCTCCCCCTGGGCGGCCCCTTCTGTGTGGAAGTTTCCTGGGGGCTCAGGTCAGGCGGGTCACGAGCACCTTAACTGTGGCTGTGAGACAAACCCCAGAGAGGAGGCTAGACAAGGCTTTCAGCCTCGTGTGCTGCGGCCAGGACAGCGTCCCGCCGGTTGACCAGCCCTGCGCCTCCTGCCCACCGTGGTCAGGGACTCACTTGTCCAGAGCCTCTTCCCACCCAGCCTCTGCGCCCAGTGGCCCCTCTGCCTGACCCAGGCTGGCCCCTTACGCCCACGTGTTCAGTGTCCTCACCGCGGGGCGCTGGACTCCAAGGCTTTGCTGAGGACACACCGTTGCACGGACCCCGATGGTGCCTGGGCGGGGCCTTCTGGGTCGAGATTACCCCGGTTCTCAACCTCCTGTTCCTGCCTGTCAGACTCCCAGCCGCCTCCGCGCTCTGCCTCCGGCGTCATCTGTTAACTTGATGCTTATTGTGAAAATCAGGTAAGACAGTGAACAGGCCAAGATCTTTAGAATGCGAGAAATAGCACCAAAAAGCAAGGGCTAGCTGGGAGTGGCCGCGCCCCTGGGGCGCCCCTGGGGCCGAGGCGTGGGCGCTGTGCCTCCCTGGCGCAGACATTCTGATCTTGGCTTCATTAGGCAGTGAGAAACTCCAGAGGCAGACAGTGTCCAGGGCTGATGCGGAAACTGGGCATTGCGAGGGACGGACCTGGCCTTTGAGTCCGTCGGGGCCAGCCCCTGCAGACGCCGGCCGAGGCCATGTCCTCCCAGCGCAGGGCGGGGGGCAGCGCCGCGGAGGCAGGCCTGCTGCCTGGCGGTGCCTCATCTCCTGTGACTTCACGTCACAGCGTCCACTCCGGTCTCCCTCTGTCATCCGCACTTTCTGCTAATCTTTCATTTCTGAAGGAGCCGGAGCACAAATCACTCCTGCTGAGCCCTCCCTCCCTCCACCAAACAGATTCTGAGTTACATCAGCCCTCACCAGATCCCCCGAACTGGGATGTGCTGGGGTCACAGGCCGCCACGAAGCCCTGCTACCTAAGGGTCAGTGGTGGGGAAGGGGAGCTTGCACTTACGCCCCTGTGGCTGACCTCCCCCCGTCCCAGGCAAGCCCTGCTTGCCACCGTGATCCAGGTGGGAGTCCCTGAAGTGCAGGTCACCGGGCAGGAGCTGCCCTGAGGTGGACCTACCCTGCAGTCCGGGCCCTGGGGCTACAACTTGCGTCCCCAGTGCCATGTCTGCGACCTGCCCCCTGAGTAGCTGAGTGAAGAGCAGCCCTCAGGCGAGACTTCTAGTTCTCCTGAGACCTGGAGTTCAGGGGAGGACGGGGCAGAGTGGGTGGTGGCAGACGGCCTTCCCACGGCAGGGTCGAGAGGGACGTCCCCTGGGGGGCGGGAGGCTGGCCAGGCAGACCCGGCTGTGTGGGACTCTGAGGCAGGCTCCCCGCGTCGGGCCAGAGAGGCCGGAGGGGCGGCTGTTCCCCCCGAGGCCAGGGGGCACGGCTGCCAGCTGGCTCATCGTGCCTGGTGTCGGGGACCCGCCCCGATCATGGATTATTGGGGGGCAAAACAGGCAGGGTTCAAGGGTGGAAGTGGCGTCGGCAAGCAGAGATTCCTAAGGGGAAAAAGGGGAGTGGCGTGAGGAAGACACGGAGTCGGAATTGGGTGCAAGTCTTCCTGCTCATCTTTTTGCAGGTCTTTATTTATACTGTTTAGCAAGATTTAGCTACAGTAATGCATCAGGTAAGTTAATAAGAAATCGGCATAAAAGTTTTAAAGGAAGAGGGGAACAGTGCCTCCTCCTCCTGCTACTTTATGGCACACTAGATTGTACATCTCTGTGATGGCTTTCATGTATACGGATGTTTATGACTTCAAAGGATCAGGGCCTGGGAAAGGACGAGCTGTTAGCAAAGGATTGTGTTAGCAGAGTCGTCTGTGATAGTCTAAAGAGAAGCTAATGGCTAACTTAAGGTTAGCAGAGAGTAGCCAGTGTTTGTTTTAGGAAAAGGCTAATTAAGACTAGCAGAGAGTAGTTAGTGATTGTTTTAGGAAAAGAGTAAATTAAGAAGTTACATAGTTGTGCATTAAGCAAAACCTGTGTTGATAATGTTAGGAAATTGTCCATGGCTCCTTATGCCCTGGGAGTTATCTAAGATTCCCTTTTTGTTTCAAAAAACCAAGGAAGCTTTCCAGGAGTCTTGATGCTGCGGGTCTTCTCTCTCCAGGAGCTTGCCTTTTGTCTTCAGTCAAAGGAATTTCCTGCCCTGCAGCAGCTCAGCTTGTACTTTGCCCAGGCCAGGTAGCCAATTTACAAACTGATGTTGCTTACAATATTTTTGATATTATGATTATACAAAAAAAGGGAGTCATTACATAAGTCACCAGTGGAGGCTCAGAGCATTCCCTGTCGGCCCGGAATTTGTCAGTCGCCAGAAGTTGCATAGCTTGTGTCAGCCTGGAGTGGGTGTCTTGAGTGGGGTGCCGAGAGAGCTGCCCCGCCAGAAGCAGGCCTAGGACTGCACCTGGCCGCCGGTTCCCTCCCCAGCACCAGAGCACAACCGCCCATTGGCTGTGTGGATTCCGCCCACCCTGTTCTCAGTTAGCTCTTGAGGGAGAGGAGGCGAAGGCGCTCAGCCCGAAAGGCGAAAGGCAGGGTTCTCTGGGACGAGGGTCTCGGTGATGGCCACACAAGAGAGTATGAAATCATCAAGTGGGATTCCACCCGGCTGCGGTCTGGCAGACTTGACTCTGAGAAGGCCCTCCCGGCCGTGGGGCGTGCGTCCGGTGTGTGGAGGAGGGGACAGTGAGTCACTGGGACTATCTGTGTGGCTTTCCCATACAGTTAAGACTGTTCAAAAATAAAAGGTTTCTTTTTAAAGAGCCTTTGTAAAACTGAAAAAAAAAAATAGAGTGCTTTTTGTACTGAATTAGGGCTATAAATTACAACAGTAAAAGATGAATTTCACAGAACAGGCAGACACTGGGGATGTCTGAAAATCCGAGGCATTTGCATTTCAACTTAAAATGGCAGTTTAGACCAGTAGGCTCCTCCTGATGGATGTGATCAAGGTGGAATCCTTGGAGTGGACGGTTGATCTGAGGAAAATGCCCGCAGTGTGTTAGGGAGAAAATAAATGGGACATAGAGACCAGAAGGAAAAGCTCACATTCTCTTGGTTGGAAGCTCAAAAGAAGAGGAACAGATGAGAGACTTTTTCCAGAAATAGAAAAAGATACGGGTTTTCAGATTGAGACCGTTTGCACTTGGAACAGCAACCCAAACCATCACGTAGAGGAGGGCACAGACGATGGGGAGAAAATCCGCGAGGACGCCGGAGGAAGGGCCGCTTCCTGCCCAGAAGGGCTGGCGGAAGACCAGGCAGCCGCGCCTCAGGGGCTGGAGGAGACCCCGTGGGCTAGCAGTCCTGGCGGCTCGCGCCCAGGGCTCCTGTCAGGCCGCGTCCAGCGCGGCTGTGCTGGGCCGGCCTCGGACAGGATGTCATGCCGGGCGTCACTGTTCCAGTGAAGGGTCATTTGCAAAGCGGGGAGTCTCTGGACTACGCTTGGACAACCTCTGATGTAGCGGTCGGCTCTCCAAGCTAAATTCTCTCCAAGCAAAACAAATACAGACCGCCCGGCCTTTTCTCCAAGACCTCCCTACCGCGGGCTGGAGGAAGATGGTGTGTCAGGGTGAAAGGAAGAAGGCCACGATAAGTATGTTCGTGACCCCAAAGACAGTTGTTGTAATGAAAGGGGAGGCAGGGAAGGGTGGAGGGAGGGAGACAGGGCTGTGGGCGCAGAGC